TTTCAGATATATAGTTTCTGATCGGTAAAGTTTGTTAGGAAAAAAAAAAAAAATGGGCCAGGCGTTTGGTTGTATTCAAGTGGATCAGTCTACAGTTGCTGTGAAGGAACATTTTGGGAAATTCGATGATGTGCTTCAGCCCGGCTGCCATTGCTTGCCATGGTGTGTGGGATATCAGTTAGCCGGCTCTCTAACACTGCGCGTGCAGCAGCTTGATGTTCGTTGTGAAACAAAGACTAAGGTTTTGTTTTATTTCATTATCTACTTACTGCTTGAACATTTTGTCATATCGTTTTGATCTAATCGAGGTTAACTTGTACGATTATGCTTGAGGTTTGGCTTAGTTACAGAATGACCGAACTTTGTTTAAAAATTACAACACCTTGAGGTTCATATTTCGTTAATGAGTAACTCATATAGGTGGTATAAGATGTAAAATAGCTTTTAAAATAGTATTTATCAATGTGTGCATTTTTAATTTACAGAATATAGTTGGTTTTCTTCGATTCGATTAAACATGACGGGTTTCTCCTGTAATTAATCCTGCCTATTGTTCATAATTATTGATATCTTTTGGTTTTGTTGGTAAATGAGATCGATTTTAGACCCAGAATGAATTTTCTCAAATAAGTAATCAGAATAGAAAGCTACGATAAAGGCTACTGACAAAATCAAGAATCTCCCTCTTTTTTTATTGTTATTGTGCTATAACTTAGTTATTTGTTGGAGGTGTAAAACCAATTTTTTTTTTTATCTGAAACTTTCAGGACAATGTGTTTGTGACTGTGGTTGCTTCAATCCAATACCGAGCTTTGGCGGAAAAAGCATCCGATGCATTTTACAAGCTTTCCAACACGAAAGAGCAGATTCAGTCATATGTTTTCGATGGTATGGTTGTAAATATATGATCATTAGCTCTTATTTAACTATATATGTGCATAAATCATCTTTTTATCCACATATTGGGATTATTGACTTCAACGGAGATGTTTCTGGTTTATGAATATGGATGAAAATCTTTGAGATACGACTATTAGTTGTTAAAATTAAATTGATTATAATTATAATAAAAAAAATTTATAGCAACATTTTAATTATATGACCTGCATTTATTTTTTTAGTTATAAGGGCAAGCGTACCAAGACTGGACCTGGATTCTACTTTCGAGCAGAAGAATGACATAGCCAAAGCTGTGGAGGATGAACTTGAAAAGGTAACATATTTTGAGGGACAATGACTGAAATAAATCCCATGTATGTGTTGTAACATGTTTATGTTTAAACAGGCTATGTCTGCATATGGATATGAGATCGTGCAAACTTTGATTGTCGATATCGAACCGGATGGCCAAGTCAAGAGAGCCATGAATGAGATAAATGCTGGTATGTTCACGTTCTTGCAATTTGAAGCTTCATGAATTTCATGGTTAAATATGAAAGAAAGTCAACATTTTATTTTAATTTTTTTTTTTCAAATGTTGTTAATGTGTGAATTTCATCATTTTTTTCCCCCATAATAGTACTCCAAATTATGAACCTCTATGTGGTGTTAAAGAATTGAATGATGAAGCTGACTTTATTATTATTATTATATATTAGCAATTAGGTGTTGCATGTGCAATTTTTGCAATTTATTTATAAAAAAAAATATCTCTGAGTGATATTAATAATAATAATCTATCTATTTCCCAATGCCCCAAAAGCTGCCAGACTCAGAGTTGCCGCTAACGAAAAAGCAGAGGCTGAGAAAATTCTCCAGATCAAGCGGGCTGAGGGGGAGGCCGAGTCCAAGTACCTATCGGGCCTCGGCATAGCCCGCCAGCGCCAGGCCATTGTTGATGGGCTGAGAGACAGTGTTCTCGCCTTCTCAGAAAATGTGCCCGGTACCTCGGCTAAAGATGTCATGGATATGGTCCTTGTGACCCAATACTTTGACACTATGAAGGAAATTGGGGCTTCGTCAAAATCATCGGCTGTTTTCATCCCTCATGGGCCTGGGGCCGTTAAGGACATTGCCTCTCAAATTCGGGAGGGACTTCTTCAAGCTGAAAGCGTTTAATCTCTTCTGTTTTCTGCGGTTTCATCGCAGAGTGTGTCTATGTTTGCATGTGGATGTGAAAAAAAATATGTTTGAATTAAATGAATTTGATGATTGTGTAAGTTTGCTATGAAATTGGTATATACTATGTGGATTGTTTTAAGATTTTGGAAGTTGTGGTGTGAATGTGCATGAATGGTGAAGGATGGTCTTTTTTCTAAAAATTCTTTAGTTTCATTTTCCAAGTATCTTTTAAGTTTATTGGTCTATAATTCTACAACTTGAGAGCTTGAGTTACTTTTTATTTTTCCACGTAGGGTGGTGGTTGTATGAGTGTGTAATGTCCATTTTGCTCTGATTAATACTAATATTTGATCATGACAGGTCTACTTATTTATGATATTGCTACATAATATTTCGCCATTATTTATTAAATTTGATACTATGGATCTCATGATTTATAATTATTATATATATATATATGTAAAATACAATGTATAATTTCTTTTATTATACCTTATCTTATTTGAACTCATCTAGAGAGAGAGAGAGGGAGATGAGGGTTGAGTTCAATTCATTAAAAGAAATAAAAATACATCTAGTTGTTAGATCACACACATTCACACACAAAATCACACCACATCAACACCAACTACACACAAACACACGCCCACACACAAAAAACACATACACATAGTACACACACTAATACAAACGTAACACAAATACACACACACATAACCACACACAGTATACACATATATCACCGCCGGCGACACTCTTGCCACTCCGGCGGCCGTCAGACCGCCAACAAAAATCCTGCCACTCCAGCGGCCGCCAAACCGTCTCCTCCACGACCTATTGTTGCCGCAGTTGCCACCACACCTTGTCATCATGGGTCGTCGTTGACCACCGCTGAGCTGGCATACATGCCGCCGTCCTTAGAGCTTCCGACTTTCATTTTCTCCACTTTGCCGCGTGGTGGTCGTCGCCGCCATTCCCGCCACCAAAATTTTTTTTGGTTGTCGCCACCCGCCATTCTCATCCACCTTGAACTGCGAACAGAGTCATCGACATTTGTTCAGTCGCACCTCAGTCGATCTGGGCGAGCTCCAGCGTTTATGATGACAACGTCTGCGACGCCGTTGTCGAGGTTGGCGGAGGTTAGGGTGCTCGAGCTCGAAACCTTTAACGAGTCGAGCCGACAAGCCTGAAATCGAGCTTAGCTCGTTAAGGGTTTGAGCTCGATCCGATCTCGAGCTTTAACGACCTGAATTAAAAAAATTATATTTTCGAGCCGAGGCGAGCTCAGGTCGTTAGCCAAACGAGCTTTAAATGAGCTCATGCTCGGCTCGTTAACCAAACAAGCCTTAAATGAGCTCGAGCTAGGCTCTTTAAGACCAAGAACTCGAGCCTTAAGGAGCAAAGCTCGAGCCGAGCTGGCTGAGCTAGACTCCTTTAATTTAACAACACTAATTGTAATTCAAGCAGTTGTCAAGTGTAGAGATGTTAATGGTCTTTGGCCCGATGGACCGACCCGTTTAGCCTTAAAAAAAGGGTTATCACTCTTTATTGGTAGCCCATTTAAATCAGGGCTTTTTAAGTCCAGACCGTTTAGCTCGAAACCTGCTTGGGTAGCCCGTTTAAATCAGGGATTTTTAAGTCCGGACCGTTTAGCTCGAAACCTGCTTGGCTAGCCCGTTTACTAGGGTTAGGCGGTGTAAATGTTTGCAGCAAGTAATATGATCTTAGATTCCTTGTATATTATAATTTTGCTATTTCACTTCACATGTAAGTATGAGTTATAATGAATTATTATTTGAAAGAAAATGATTAACAATATTGGTATTGTACTTCACACCAAAATATTTAAGCCAATTAGAACTATTAATAGGAAACGCATGAGACTAAGATCGACAATATGAAATATAGTGAAAGAATTTATAATGATACAATATCGTGAAAACATCCCAATGCGTACAAAATAAG